ATATGTATTCAAAATAAAGCATTAAAGTTTAAATCTTAAAATAACAGCAAACTGGGTGAAGTCCATACCACAGTATACCTGGTTTCTGAAGTGTTAAAATGATTAGAGAGCAAGTGACTCCCTCCTGGAGAGGACACCAGTCCATCACATGGGGACCCCCCAGCACTGCTGGTGCTCACTCCCACAGCTGGGGTACAGTACCTCACTCAAGGTACAGCAGGGACTCAAACCTGCAACCTACCAGTCAGAACCCCAAAGGCTTTACCCCTACACTACCACAATAATAGCACTAGCATTTAATTATTTATTGCTCACTGCAGTGACACCATCATGTATGAATTAATTATTACTCCATAAAATTAAAAGACCATTCAGTGTCTAGTTACCTTCTCATGTACACAGTGGACTAATAAAAGGCTCTCATAAATACAGATGAGCTTTAATGATGAGGCTACATGTATTTAGAAGTGCTTTAGATAGACATTAGTGTATGTAAAGTAATCCGAAATCCATGTGCTTCATTATTACTTAAGGAGGAATTTGGGAATTAATTGCTGCATGAGGCGCTTTTAAACAGTAATAGTCAGTTACAACTACATTCCTTTAAAGATGTCATGTATCTTCTTAATCAGTCAAATCCACCCCACCACCATTTTACTCAAATATGTACTGTATAATATAACGCCTTTCACCATCAATATTTAGACATTGCAAGTTTATTGCAGTTTATTTCTGTTCCAAACTTTCCACTACACTTTGGGACATCTTCCTGTGGCAACTTGCACTATATATAGAAGCAATTCCAACAGCATTCAGTTGTTTTTTTTTATGGCTTCCAACTAATATTAAAAAATAGTTTGTCACAGACAAAAACTGCGTTAATGTACTGTGAATGGATAGTCACAGAACTCTTCTTTCAGCACACTGTTTGACACCTCAAGCTCCTACAAATTTTCCCCTTTTTCTTTGGAGCAGGTCTTCTGCTGAAAAGCTCTTTGTAAAACGTTCTTTGTACTTGATCTTTTTTTTTTTAGAAAATCCAATTGACGGACGCCAGTATTCTATCCGACATTTAGCGTTATTGCTTTTGCACACACGTAATTAATCGTGACATCTGCTGGCTATTTGGGGCACTGCATCATTTCCTGGATCTCATGAGATGAACGCAAACTTATGTTATAAACACCAGTTCTATAAAGGTTAAGAATAGGATTGATTCGTTTGGTTGAACTAAAACCAGGCAGTCTTGTTAAAAAGATCATTTTGCTCCTGTATAAACAGGATTTTGGAATACATCGCTAAAAGTACTTGAAGAAATAATGCTTTTAATGCATTAAATTATGGACAGATTAAATCTGGTCGAGTTAAAAAGCTGTCATTGTCAGTATGATATTTTCAGTCTCTACGAACATATTTATATTCAGTTTCCTCTCGTGTTCCTTTGTTCCCTGGGTCAATAACCTTGGATTTCAGGCCCAGTAAAAAAGAGCACTCGATATCAAGCAGTTACTTTCCCCAGCTTGTCACCCTTTCAACAAATACTATTTAAAGCAGTGAAAGCCTCTACCTCCTTCCTGAGCTAATGAACAGAGTGTCAGAGGTGTGGAGCACCAGGAATAAAAATTTCAAGTGACTGCGACCAGGAGACCAGCTTCCTGAGAGCCTGGATCATGAGGAATTACCAAGGAGTCATCAGTAATCAGTAATCAGAAAGGGTTTTGTAAATTCAATGATGGATCATCATAGTTACACTATACAAAATAGGCAACTAAAGCAGGTGATGTGGTGGTCTGAGATCTGGATAATGATGAGCTGATACTTATCTCAGTAGATTGACCTTGCTAATATTCTTTGCATTGGTGTGGCATTGAATGAATTATGGTGACTTTTCCTTCAGGTATCACATTTTAAAAGAACTTTAGAATTAAAACACATTTGCACTAGGATGGGGGCTGTAGATGTGTCAGGTGAAGCGTTAGGCTTTTTTATGAGAAAGTTTTGGTGTGACTTGTTTATGATAAAGGCAAACTAAAAAAATGTTTGCTGGTCTTGTTTGCAAAGTGTACCCTTTCTTAATGGACCTGTTTATGGTTAAATAAGAATTTGAAAGGTATTAGGGGCAGTATGGTGGGGTAGTGGGTAGCTTTGCTGCTTAGTATGCACCTGGGGTGCTATCTGGGTGGAGTCTGTATGTTCTCCCTGTGTTACTGTGGGTTTCCTCCCACAGCCCAGAGATGTACTGGTAGGTTAATTGACTTCTGAGAAAACTGGTCCTGGAGGGCGTACCCCCACCTGGCGCCTGTGGATGTCTGAGCTGGACCTGCATCCTGCAAATACCAAGAACTGTCCCCTCAATGAACTGTTTGGATGTTGGAAACTATTCAATTCAATTAATGTTTGGAAGAAATTGAATTCTGAGCAAAATTCTGATGTTAACAAAAAACATCTCCATGTATCAGAAAAGGAAGAGTTGAACATAAGCCTCGCAGAGCTTTTTAAAGAGCAAGCATTGCTCAATAAATAGCTCTGGTACCATCTAGTGGCTGGAGTTCATAGTTTCAGCACAGACGCTATTTGTTATCTTTCAGCGACTCTCTTGGCAGGGAAGTAAAGACCGCGACCGCAGCGAGAAAGAATCACAAAGAGCTGCATAGTGGATATTGGTATTTGTAGACTTTAAACTAAATTGCACTGCTTAGGTACAAAAATAATAATATTCCCTTATGTCTGTGTTGTGCTTTTCACGACCAAAGGATGGCAAAGGCATTTTACATAAAGCAGTCTGCCGTAAGGGCTCTTCACAGCAGTACTGAAGCGCAGCCCCAATACACAGCAGTTCAGGTGGAGAAATTGAAGACATTTCTCCGGTGATTAGTGGAGAGCTTTAAGGAGGCTAGATTGTTTAAGCCAGGACTAGAATATATCCAGGACGCCAGAGTTAACAACCAGACCAATGCATGGAAAATTGAGTATAAAGGAAAAGTCTCAACCATATAGTGCTAGTGCAAGTAAATCATGTGAGAATAATGCCTCCAATTTATCTTATGTTTTCTGACAGGCAAAAAACGATTATTGCTAGAAACAGTACATTAGGCACACAATAAAAGCATTCTGAACTTCAGGGTTTTTTTGTGTGTGTGACATCCATAAGAGTGGATAATTTTAAATGTATGCATGGGAAAAAACAGGCATCGCAAGAAATAGTCCCATCGTAATTTAAAATAAGAGACTATGGTGTCTGTTTTTTTTTGTTTGTTTTTTTTGGGGGGAGGCTGCAATTAGCTTTTTGGAAGTACTGTTGTGCAATTAATGAACCCAAACGTTTTCTCTATTTCAGATAGTGTGTGGTGTTAACAAAGAACAGTGCAACAATACATTTTACAGAGATTACTTAAGGTTACTGAAACACTTCTGCTTTTTCAGTTTTATTTCATTCTGCTAAAGATCTCTTTATTGTGTGCCAATGCAGAAGTTACAAGAGACAGCCACAGCACATTTCAAATTTCAGAATAAGCCAGATGATAAACAACATTGTCAATACTCCCTGCGACACTGGATTTGTGCAGGGTATTGGGAGACAAAGTCTGCTTTGGTGCAGGAAGTTCAGATCTTTACTCTGATGACCATTTTTCGTTTCCTGAAACAGAAGAGCTGTCTTAGATTCCCTTGGTTCTGATTATTTTTAGGTTTCTATGGCCATTACAGGTCCCCCATCCTGTGTTCCCGAGAGAAAAAAGGCAGATTTGAAGCATACACAAAAACAGGGAAGGTGTAGTGGAAATGTGAAAAAAATGCAAATGTTTTTTTACTGGTACAACAATAGTTTTACTTCTGGGTCCTGTGCTGTGAAATACTTTCTTAGTTTGCCACTTCCGTTTTGCATTAAACAACACTCCTATTTCCCCTATTGTGGTAAAATGTCTTAATCTGTGCTATTTTCATAAACCAAAGTTGACAATTGCTGCTTCAGTTCTAACTGACAGTAAACCCAATGTCAGATTTTGGATGCTTCAAGAGATTAACGTACAGCAAAAATGAGGTGATGCCATCATCATATTTACTTTTGAAATCCAGTTGTTTGAGCATAGCTACGTATGAGGCACATTTCAGGTTTGTCACAATAGAATGAAAACTCACAGCATCTCACTTTTGAATCTCATGCTTAGAACATATCTTTGTTGTTCTTGTTCTATTATAAAAATTATAGAATAGTTTACACCCTTGTCACTTACTGAATGAATTACTGAAATACCCCTCCTGCAGGGGTTTCTGCACTACAACTGAACAAACTGTTCATAGTTCAGCAGCTAAATTCATAACTACAGTGAGTCACAGACTAAGGCCCATGTTACTGCTGTGCATGAATATCGGCACTGGCTTCTAGCTGAGTCCAGAATTGACTTTAAAGTTCCGCCCATTACCTTCAAAGTTTTGAATGGCTTTTCTGCCATAAATCACTGTTTTTGTCCAGATTTACTGTCATTGTGCCGTTGACACAAGTCTCACGTCTTTCCTCAAGATCAGGCTCCCGGCTTTGAGTTACATAGGACTTTCTGTGTATCCTTGCACCGAGATTGTGGAGTACACTTACCGTACAAAAATAAACAGGGAATGTTTTTTTCCCAGAAAATGTTTCTTTGAAATTGTAAAATTCCTACTCTTTTTTGGTGTTTACCGTTTTTAGTCTTTATTCACAGTGCCTTGGTAATGTCTGTAAAGATGTTCTATGAAATAAAGATGATAATAATGATGTTCTCAAACACCTAGGAGTAATATTACCCAGCACAAGGGAAAGTTTGTTCCCCCCATATTCAATGGTTTCTATTCCAGACAAATTCTTTCATTTTTCATGACTAATCCTTCTTGAAAGAAGGATCTACAAATATTAAATAGATCAATTAAAAAAGAATCAATATCTGGATTTGGCGAGATTAATTCTGAAAATCTAAATATATTTTATCCTATGCTTATGCATTAGTGCTGTTGATTGAAAGAACTATAATTTAATAATTATATGAGATATAACATTTCTAAATAGAAATGTTGCTGACTATTTGCCAAAGTTCTGCATTCATTGACAGGATCCCCTGGATTAGTGCTAATTGTAGTTTTCATAATGCTACTTTTAGCAGAAGTAAGACTTATTGATGTAGTTTGGTCTGGGTTTGATGCTCTTTTTGTTGATGACTGCTACACTATCAATATTCCCACCAATGGGAAATAACCTCGACTTGGATTATGGGTGTGACTCATTCAGCCTGCAACTTGCACTGCCTCTTGTATCCTTAAATGGGCAAAACACTGCTTCAATACTACTCTTCCTCTCTCTTCACTTTCTCTTTTATTTCAACAATACAGTTAGCGGTATTAATAAATGTTCCGGCATTCATCTTCCATATTTCATCAAGCTGTAAAATGAAACATTTCTGAACACTTCCTATGAAGAAGTGCGCTGTTTTCCCCCAGTGTCTTTTTTTTTCCAGTTCTCACTTCCTTCATCTTCATATTATTTTCTTCATATTGCTGTTTTCTGCCACGGGATTACGGCATCAAGAAACTTTGTGGACTCCGAGAAGACGGATGAGCAGGGCAAGCTACCGGATGGAACAAGTCAAAACAAAAATAGGGAAGAGGGATGTCGAGAGTCCTTTCTGACTTGTGCAACTGCTGGTGTTTCTTCCCAACCACTTTTCACAGTGTCCCTCACAGGCACAGCCGAAAGGAAATCCCATCTTTGTGCTCCTCCTCTTATCTCGACGGTGTAGCGAGAGGGTGGGACCCATGAAAGTGGTCACAAACATCTGTGGGGTGAGGAAGCGTTGCCACGGCAGCGGAGTTATCTGCATCCTCCATGTATTTCCTCACAGCCTGAGGACCCCAACGGGGGGTGAAGTGAACTTAGGGAGGAGTCAGATGCTTGTATGCTCGCTTGGACAGCAGCTGAAGTCCTCCATGCCAGATCGTGCTGGGCCTTCACTAGCCTGGGGCTGTCTGCTTGTTTTTGACACATCACAGGGGATCCTGCACATTCGGAGCCATGTGTCCAGTTGGGGCCCGGGGGCTGTGGGCGCTGCTGTGGGGTCTAAGCTTGATCAGCTGGACAGAAGTGGCGGCTTCACCGTCCAACTCTCCTGCGCCCCCCGCTCACAGAAAGCCTCTCTACAGCTTTGGCAGGAGCTTTCTGGGCTTGGATAAATGCAACGCATGCGCCGGTACATCCATCTGCAAAAAATTCTTCAAAGAAGAAATCAGGTAGGTCAATAAAGTCTTTGACACACTGCTTTTCTTTCTACCTTGTCTTACTGCTGGGGTTCAGTTAGGATTCACTCCACATTTGTGACACAGCATGCCAAGCCACCTTTAAGGCAGCAAGCATTTTTGTTCTGTTAAAAAAAATCTTTCTCAAGACGAAATAATTTCATTATACACAGCCCCCTTTTTGTGAAGTTACTTACCAAATGACTTAGGGAATACACAGTTCAGACCAAATGAATGCTGCATTCTGTAATACTTGGGCAAAAGGTTTAAACCAAAGTGTGTGAGAAGATAGAAGCCTTTTAAAACTAGAAAGAACTAACTGCAGTGAGTGTGTCTTCTGAAACACTGCAGAGCAGCTTTTGAACACCCAAGCGAAGTGCAGAGGTGAAGGTGCTGGCAGCAATCCTGAATGCTTTCTGCTGAAAACAAACTATTTTCAAAAGACAGAAATCTCATCTGTGGGTGGATATTGTCAGTTACTGGGATTTTAGTCTCACAAATTTAGTCCAGTTTCTTAACTGATCAGAGCAGAAAGATATCTATAATTCTCATTCCTACAAGTCTGTCATTTTATGCTGTCGTTTTGGACAGGTTTGGCAAAGGAATTCAACCAAAATTTATTCACAGTGCTCTGCCATTAAAATGAACTAGAATTGCTACATGACTTTATACATAAAGTAGAACTGATGTCAGGACAAACGTATCTGGTTGTATTTTGTACACAATGATGAAGCACTAAAATCATATTCAAAGCAACGTAATTGGGAAAGCCCAGACAATTCCAAATTATCTGGATTTTTGGGTGCTTTTATGGGTGAAATCAGTGAGGGTATTAGATTCGCAGATCCACTCAACCTATTCTGACTTCTTCAAAAATTATAAAGTGCCCACTGTGTTCTCTCTCTGTTTTCAAACACTAAGAGAGAATCTATTAACATCAAAATATTGCACAGCACTGAAAACTGCACAGCAAAGCCATTTCTCCCACCAGCACAAAGGCTCTCAGCATAAGATAACCTAAAGATCTCAGCAGCATGAGTACCAAGCAAAACTCCATTGTGATTTAAAAATATTGCCCGCACTATTTCAACAAAACAAAGAAAATGGAAGAGTACAGCTGAGGTGAAATGGAAACAATTTTTCTGTACCAAGGCCTGTCCATATTGTTTCCAAACTAAGATTGTGGGAAGCTGGAAAAATTAAAAAATATAACCCAAGAATAAATATTACCTAAGACAAAGCAAACACAGATGAAACTTTGTCAGATGAAACTTTTGCTGTTGCTGGGAGTTCACCTGAAATCAAGGAAGATTTCCAGGTTGCAGTGGAAATCCCATGGCTCTTTGCCCTTTATGATGTAATTATGCAATTTTACATTAAGTCCTCCTCTCGTGTAAAACACTGGAAAATCACCCAGCAAAACCCCTCTTGGCATGCTTCCTTTTTAAATACTAGGAAACCTGTAGCTGTAGTGGCATAAAAAAAGGAAAAATAATTTAAGATGTATAAGGGGCTAGGTTTTGATTTTACTTTAAAAAAAGTGGGGCCCAATAATTTAATTGCTCCTTAATTCCTCATGTAATGCTCAGCCTTTGGCACAGATCAAGAATTGGCAACAGGATGTTCATGCAACTAAAAACGTAGAGTGCTGAGCAGTATGAAGAAGGGCAGTCCTGACCTAGAAATAGAGTATACAGCTCAACTCCAGCGTTAGTACAGATGGCATTGCTTTATGCCTCACTCAAGGTGCAGTTGTGGGAACATAGGATGATAACACTGCTGTATGTTGCACTCAGTTTCTCTTTGTGCAGGGAATGTCTCATGTGAAAACATGATTTCACAGTGACACAACAAGAATATAACCTTGTAATACACTTCTATACCCAAAGGATCCTAAAGCATTTTAGATATTGGAGTAGACCCACTTCATTCTGTACTTCAGGAAGTGGGGCCTCACCTGGATCACACAAGACAGCCACCATAACACACCAGATAAGGTGGAGGAGCTAGAAACTGCTTCCTGGTTCAATCAGAGAGGCCGGACAGTGCAGACCTAAGGTTGAATTTAGCCTGGACACTGGAGTTATCACCCAGTCATCACTGGAGTGTGACAGAACTGCTGAGTGTCACATTATGAAATGTGCCTGCTCTTCTAGTCGCAGGGTTATTTTCCACAATTACCACTGACCGCGTACATGCCGTTACCAAACGCCTCCTTGCCTCGATCAGACCCGTCACCCCGAGAAAGTCTTTGAAAAAGACATCTCCAACAGAATTGACCATCTCCACAGGCCCTACCGCTGTCTGGGTACAACACTGGATCCTCACATTAGACACAGGTGTCAGCCCATCACTGAGGTCATGCAGAAAATGAGCACTTTAACCCAAAGCATTTCACTGACTATTATTGCCAGATACTTAAATGATACAGGATGAAAACTCAAGTTTTTAGAGAATGAAATGTGTTTCCATGCATGTGGCCGCATTTTGCGTTCTCAGCCCCCTGTGCTCCATTTGTTTTGAGGCTGCACACAGTTCCTGAATTCACCGAAATGCGAGAACAGCTTTTGACAGCTTGTAGCCTCTAATCTGATGATTCATGCCGCACCTGGTAGTAGTGCTGAAAACCTTGCTCATCTGCCCTGTGGCAGATTCCTTTCTTTTCAACACTTAGACCTGATCAGGGCACATCCCTTCTGAAGGTCTACTGGGTTGATTTCTGGTACCATTTCCATTCCATCCGGTCCGTTTAGATTATTTTATGCCTGTTCAGATATTTGTAGTCGGCTGCCCTTGCTTGCAGATTTTTTTGCTTTCTTTTCTGGAGAGAAGGAAATTCAGGCTAATGCTATTCGATTTCACTTGTTTTTAATAAAAGCAATCCGTGTCCCCCTCAGTTTAGACAAAAATGTACTTTTCGTGTTTTCCGTTTAGGAGTACATTCTCACGGAAGGTATAGGAGACAGACGTGGTAAAGCAAGTATAACAATTTCATTTGGGGTCTTTTTTTAGACCACCCTGGGCATGAGCTCTTCACCCCACTGCCCTCAGGCAAGAGATACAAGTGCATACTGAGACTTACCACCAGATTCTTCAATAGCTTCTACCCTCAGGCAGTGCGATTGGCGAACACATGAACACATTTGGCCATGCCCCTTGGACCACACCTACACCTTCTACCTCATTACAATTTCTTCTATAATTTATTGCACATCTGCACTTAACGTTTACGTCTGCATTGTTTACATTCAAATGGTTTACTTGTTTAATTCTACATTGTCTACTGTTTTTTTGTATATTGTCTTGATGCACAGTCTGCACTTTTTTAACAATCGAGGAACTTTCTGTTAGTAAGAATTCCATTGTACCAGTACATGTACAGGTTACATATGGCAATAAAGTTCAAGCTTATGGCCACTTTATGAGACCCGGTGGTATAAGAATGTCTGTTGGTCTGCTCTTGGCCTTGTGTTGCACTTGTTCTGTATTTGTTGCGGTCAGCTCAGTGCAGATTTTGACACTCCCCATCAGATTTGAAAGGTGGCTGTCCCCCAGGCTGCAGCTGCCCCTTACCTACAAGAATAGCTACCAGGGGAACTACACCGACGACTCGGAGTCCTGGAGGCCAGTCTTCATCTCCCGCATGATGCCCCATCACAAACACGAGGCCTCGGACCTCAAGATCTGCAGCTCAGCCGGCCAGCGCCATTCGTGCAGCATCGAGGGCGTGCTGAGGAACACCAAGAGGTTCCAGAGCTGGGTCCTCTCCAGCCTGCTCACGCCCCACATGGTCCAGGTGAGCGCCCAAGAACCCCCATCTCCCAAGCCAGCGGAGTCTCCAGCGTCCAGAGAAACGCCTCGCCTCAGAGGACCCGACTCCAACTTGTCGGCAGAATAGCCTGAATATTGCCAGTACTGCACACACTGCACCCTGGGAAAAGGCTATTATCTAACAAGCTGTGAACGGCCTCCAGCATCTGTCTTTGTAAAAGTACCGCTAACTCATTGATAACGGAGCTCTGGTAGCTCAGACGACAAGGGCATCTGGCTCCTGACTGGAAGGTCCTGGGTTCAATCCCAGGTAGGGGCAAGTGATTGATGAAGCTTGCTCTAACTCCTTCCAGACAGCTCCCAGGTCCACTCTGCCTGCTTTCCAAATGAGCACCGGAGGTTAATCCTTCTGGAGGTAATAGGCCGGCTGGAGCGTGATTCTGACCACATTACCTCTACTTCCAGTGTTGGATGGTTGAGAAAAATGGTGGCTCTTGCCCACCATTCCCCCATGGGCCTTTATGGCCTGAAAAGGGGACCTTACTTACCTACTCATTGATGATGATGTAGATCAGCTCAAATGTCTCTGCTCTTTGTCACTCAAAAGTATTCACCCCCCTTTTAAAAAATATTTTATTGTGTTTCAATATGGAATCATAATGTACTGTATTTGATTGACAGAAAACACTCAAAGTTAAAACATCCTCCAGATCCTCCTGAATGAATTCTAAATATAAAACAGAAAGTAACTGATAGCGTATTTACCCACTTGTACCAGTAAGCAATATAAAGTGATAACATTATTCCTGGATGTGTGGGAATATGGAAGAATAGGAAGAAACAAGATCCTTTCCAAGAATACAGGATTCTGATCGATTCTACATGCAGCCTGTTTTATAGAAAGTACAGGATGCGACGGAGTAAATGGTAAGCTGCAGCCTGACTCATGCCTGAGTCCCAGTTAGAAATGTGAGATATCTAGGAGAGGTTAAGTGGGCACCCCTTGAGAACAGGGGAGTCACTTCCACCCTGACCACTTGGTTACTTATCTAGTGTCATCTTATTCATTGTCCAGCTTTAGCTGCTGGCTCCAGGCCTTGATGTTTTGTAAGCACTGGACTATGAATCAAAGTTTTTGAATTAAGATCTTTTAAAGCCCCAGCCTTGAAGAAAGGGTTACAAAAATGTCCACCTGAGCCCATGTTTAGTGCAGTGGTTTGAAAGTGAGAACTCCAAACCTACCTGCCTGCAGACTTAGAAGAGGTGACACCCACCCCCTCCAAAGAGGCCTACTACCCAGCTCCTGGAGATCAGCTTTTAAATAAGGCCAATCCGAAGCGACCTAGAAAATAAAGAAGCCTACTAATTAGTGTACCAATTAAGTCATCATCAGTTCAGCTGGATCAAACCAAAAAACAAGAAACCACCCAAAACTGTCCACAGCTATGGTGACAGGACCCTTGTCTTAGAAGAGAAGGACATAAAGGCTACAGAGCACAGTCCAGACTCCCAGAACCAGGGTCTGCCACCTGTTCTCTGCTATAAAGCACTTGTGTGGTTTCCACAGTTGAGGTGGCTTAATGAGGTAAGCAGCAGGGCTCAAGCCTGAGGTGTCTGTCCACAGGGTTTGACCAGTCCCATGCTGCGCTGTACCTCCCAGCGGCTCCTGGATCGCATTGTGCGGCGCTACGCAGAAGTTTCAGATGCGGGGAGCGTTCAAATGAAGCATTTTGCCGAGCGGGATAAACTCAGACTGCTCTACACCCTCTCCGTCAACCAGCATCCCCTGATGTTACAGGTAGGAGGGCGGCACTCATGAGGCCATTTTAAACATCCAGACAATAACAGAAATAAAAACACCTGCCACCAGCGGCAGCATGATGACAGTGAATATCATCCAACTGACTTAATACTGATGTGTGATTCAGACAGGTGTCTTAATCTTTCCTTGGTTCAATATTCACAGGCATCAAAAACACGATTTTAAAGGGGAACTGCAGTTCCAATTTCTAAGACCAGTTACTAAATCTCGTTAACAAAATAAATTCATTGATGGTTAGGAAAAAATGTACAGATTTCGATTTAAGCACAAACACGTGAACTTTGTGAAAATATTGGAAAGTCGCCATGGTGTCGCAAACCCCTGGTCTCGGCACGGGAGAGAGCAAGAGTTCATGAGAATTGTGACGTGAAGCGGCCCTTCCTGCTCACTAGTTACTGTAATGACTAATGGAATGCAATATAAAACAAATAAGTAGAGGTTGTGCAGCAGACATTTCACTGCAGAAACTTTCCAACATGATCTGCATGCAGAGCTAACAAGTAAGTTCCATTTATCAACCGTCTTGAAGTGAAAATATTTCCAAAAGAAATATTGAAAGAGGCGTGTTCAAAAACCTGCTTGTAATAAGCTGCTTCACGTCATCAGACGTTTTTTTTCCACCATTCTGAATCGCAGAACATGGTACTGTGCATACCTGGAAAAAACCAAATATAAAAATAGCAGTGCAGTTCTTCTTTAAGGAATGGAGAGATCTAGAATATCAGGACTGGCCTGAGGATGTTTAATATTGTCTATAAGTAGCTGCTAGAGAAATGGTCTTTGGTTTGTCCTTACATGTGAAGATAAGAACATTTCAAAACAACTACGGTTTTTAAAATACTGTAGCAAACAGCACCATAACATCCTCAAGGCAACAGTGTAGAATAGTGGGCAGGCCTCTGGACCAGTACTTGGAAGGCTGAGGGTTCAAATCCCAGGTGGGACACAGCTCTTGTTCTTGCTAGGAAGGTACTTCAGCTCTGGTAAAATATCCAGCTATAGAAACAAAACCTAACAGAATTTGCTTCATTCAAAAGTACCTGCTATGTTAAGTAAACTACAAAATCTCCTATTTAAAAAAATAAGACAAGACAAATTTTGGACTTCTAAACCATCAACAGAAAAACCTGCTGGATTGCACTCGCCTGACTCGATGACTTTAAAATCTGAGGTAGAGAAATGCCTCGGAATATCTTTACCCCTTCCTGACTTGGCCTATACTTCTTCTGCTTAATGATCAGATTTTTCCCGGATCAGAGGGATGGCCTTTTCCAAAATACTATGGCTCCTGTGGAAGAGTGATAGTAACCACCAGCACGAACCCCATAAAGCAGTTCTACAGCGCTGCATTCGAGGCCAGAGCAGACGTTGCTTATCAGCTGCTGAGCATCACCCAGTCTCTGAGGACCAATGGCTTTAACTATGTCCTGTACTACACCAGCGTCAGTGAGGACATGTTTGGCACTTTTGAGGATGGAAGGCTTTTCATCACAGATGCCAGCACCATAGGGGTCATCGACAAGCAGGAAGGTAAGCAGCTTGAACTCAGACTCCTCTTTTTCAGATTTAGCTTTGTGTTGAAAAATGGTTGCCCACCATAAGCTTTTACCCATGGTTGACAGGAGTTACAGAAGCTCTTAAACCTGTAACTGGCTGTGTTAAGGATTGAAAAACAGACTGAAATGGCTGCAAAAATTATTAAGAAGGCTCGTAGGTACAGACTTACCTGCACAAACCAAATGATTTCTTTAGCGATTTTGCTCTTGATCCTCTTGGTAGTGCTTCAAACAGGAGCTGAAGTCAAGGTTTTCTTCCATTGTGAATTAACACACAGCCTCCAGAACAACCAATCTGATGCAGTGGCCTTCAATACCTATTCCACATGGGTGCAGGGTCTTCGTGTTCCCTGAGCTGTCATGTATGCGGCTATCCTAAATGGTTCTCTAAACTGGAAAACGAAATGTCTGTTTTGTGCTCTTGATTTGATTCAGAGTGTACATTTGCAGGCCTGGACAGAAGTGGTAGGTCTCCTGAGGACTAGATAGCGAGGTTGGAACAAAAAATTAACAGGTCCCTGCAGGGGTAGTGTTACAGTCCCTCCAGCACTGGGATTTTAAACAGCTGTGCTAAAGCTGGAGATATCAAACATGAAGAGACACAATGTATAATTAACCCCCTCCCTCCTGCTTCTTTCCTACCTACTAACTTGAACAGCAGCTTATATTGCAAATCAGGATGTTGTGGCATTTTTGAGTGTTCAATTTTCTTCTTTTAAACACAGCTCATACTATCCACTCTACTTGTTTCTGATTAAGTACTTTTACAATAATTTCATTTTACACCATCTTCTTCAATGTGCCAGGAAAGCCCAGATCAACATTAATTTCAAGGACTGTTTCATTGTAAAGCTCATCAATATTCAATTGTACAGCCACAGGTATTCATACTGATATGGGCTCCTGAGAATGAGATAAGTCTTCAATCCAGTGGAGGAACTCCCTAACCTGGAAAGACACAGAAAAATGTGGGATCATCAGTGCAGTTGCATTTTTCACATTTAATTCTTCACAAATGAGATGCACTCACACTGATTTCGCTATCTCCTCTAGAAAATAAGTAGAACAAATCACTACCAAAAACATCCCTCTAAACCATTAACAATGCCCTTCTTAGTGCAGTGTAACCAATTAATCCAAGATACTGAGAAGATTGGTTTCCTGTGGAAATACACAATCTGATGGATGAGTTGTTACTCAAAGGAGCTCTTCCTACTATATGCACTGTTAATACGGCATCCATATGCCTTTCAAACCTTTCATTGACTCATTACTTTATACATTTCCAAGGTTTAGAGGTTGGAGTAAAATGCTTAAACATTGCAGCTTTATAATTTCTGGAGCATGTGATGAGGAGACCTTACTAAAGGAGGAAACTATCAAATAAAGTGTAGTGAAAGTGTTTGTTTTTTTTTCGAAATAATGAGCTGCAGGTCACAAATAACTATACAGGAACCCATTCATCCTTGTTCTGCTTAGAGTAGCCTAGTGACCTTCAACTTGCATCAGAACTTTCTCTAAGAATTTCAGAGATGAAACCCACCTACACATGAGTTGCTAGCAAAACTAGATGGGCAAACTTGGATTTTTATAGTTCTCACCAGAAAATCCTTTTTGAAACCTGTAACTATTTTTTAACCCGAGATGAAACTGTATAATGGTGATAAAGACAACATAGACATCATTGTAATCATGAGGAAAAACTCCACATTTTTTTTACTCAAAACGGTGGACGCTAATATGATAAGTTGCAGTTTCCCCTTACAGAATTGCATGTCTTTTGCTCCCAGATTCCCAGAAAAATAAACTCAGAGCATTTTGCCAAGTGCATCTCCCAAGTCACTTAAATGGCGGTGAGCATTTCAGCGATTTACAAGTAGCACTTCCCTTATTGACTGCAGGATTCCTGGACGGTGCCGTGCAGCAGGAGAACTACACAGATGTCTTCTCGTGCTTGAATTTAAACTGCAGGAGGCCCCCGCCTTGCCGCACAGTCAGAGACGCCCAAAGCGTGCTCCTCATCTGCAGAGACATTCTGCCCAAGCTGCTGATTTCCAACGACAATCCGACTGGATCCCGCCAGAAGGACATAAGCAGCCTGTTGCACATCTGCGCGGATAGGACGCTTTTGGACAGGAGCATCATAAAGGCAGCCAACACTCTCATGAGCCTCTTGAGACCCCTGCGGCCTTGCAATCAGCACTTTAGTTACAGATACCCGGAATGCAGATACGGGAGTGAGTTCTGAGTCACGACAAGCCCATCAGACTTACAACAGTTATTGTCATTGTTAAAGCGAGAAGTACTGGACACAAGTGAGACGACGGTAATTACGGTCTCAGATTGATCCTTGTTTGAAAAAGAAGAACGTCTAACACATTATGGCGATTCAATAGCCATTCCAGGGCTTAAAATTAAAATATACAAAAAGACAATGGATCCTCGTCTGGGTTTTGAACAACTGGTAAGTTATTTCTTGCAACACTGAGGTGATATATGTGCCAAGAACCAAGAGACCTGTTAATGTAGACAACATGCTAGACAGACGGGAATTATGAAGAGAAAAAAGCACTGGTAATGCTTTTAAAGAGGCGCCTTACTTCACAATGTTCCTGAACCCAGGACCTTTCTTTTTGAGTTCCAACAGGACTCTGAAACGCTGGTCACCTCTGACTTGTCCAATATGACATCTGCAGCAGTCACAAAGAGAGAAGGGAAATGTTTCAAGGAGCTGGGCTGAACGAAGAATACCAAAGCCATGCAGCTTTTGGGTGCAATCTGTCCAGCAGCCTTTTGCAGTCACATGCAAAAAAAAAGTTAACATGAAAAATACACGCTATTTTAATTTGGAACATTGCCATTTCAAGTACTAAGACATCACTCTTACTAGAAGATGGCTTCTGCATAAACGCTGCAGGGCCCAGTGTATTCAGCAAGTTACAGAAGTGATGTTGCTCCCCTCTGTAACCTAGAAAGTGTAAAGCTCGTTTGGTGCAGAGCAGTTACCTGCAGTCTAGGGCAGGGGTTCCCAATCCTGGTCCTGGAGCCCACACATCAGGTAGTTTTCATTCCAGCCAAACCTAATAAACTGAAGCCTTAGTGCTTTTGGTCATTGTAATTATCATTGCAATTGGTAAAGCACAGTGGTAAGTGACAATTTTAAAATTAACATCAATTCGAAAGGAATTAGTAACAGGGATATACAGTATGTAGTTTATACGAACTGATGGAATTTTTTTTTTATGAGAATACTGTAGTTATAGTATATGTACTTTCACAAAAAGTTTTAAACCCTCTAACCAGCAATACAGCTTGTGCAGTGAGGCATTGCAACTTGCCAAACAAAAGCTCGTTAGGTGCACTTTTACCCAACGAGGTCCAGGTGGAACAAATGCATGAGCAGGACACCTTTAAGAAGGCCTTAATTCAAAGCTTAGGTCACTGCAAGAAAAAGGCCCCACTTAGTCAGTTTGCTGGGCATTCCATAATGCCTCGGATGTCGCCAAAAGCAAGGGAGAGGGCCATTAGCATGCTGCGGGCAGGCATGTCACGTGCCACTCCTGTGTCCCGACTGCAGAGGTTTCAGCAGACCGGCAGGATAGATGACTGTCCAAAATCCAGTCATCCTCAAGTGACCACACCAGAGCAGGACCGACATCAGATTAGTCCATCTGAGAGATCGTTTCAGATCTGCCACCTGTACTGCTGCTGAAACTGCCGGCAGACGCAATGCTCGCATCAGTGACAGGACAGTGAGGCTCCATGCTGCTGGCCTTAGAGCAAGGCGGGCTGTCACACCTCCTAGACATCACACCTGACTGGCTTAGGCAAGACGGAGGGTGTGATGGACTCGTCAGCAGTGGCATCAGGTCCTCTTCACGGATGAGTCACTCTTCAGCCTGTTCCACGCAGATGGGAGGGCCAGAGTGTGGAGGAGGAGGTGTTGCATTTCTTTTTTCCACCAGTCTAGTTCCAATGAAAATTAATGCATCCTCACATGGGATCAATCCAACATTCTGAATGAAACTCACCATAGTGAATGTTCAGATTACTCCTACTTGGGCTATAGGGCTCAAAAACGTACTTCCAAGTGCTTTTTACTGATTAAACCAATTGGGATCCTGGCACTAACGCCCTATTTCTATTGTTAATGTGGATTTTATTTTTCACATTGGTACACGAAACAAAAGCCAAAAGACATTGTAGTCATTGGAAACCTCCCTCGAGGGCATTTCCGTCACTGCAGAAATGGTTTAGCAAGCATTTTCCTGTTTCCAGACAGATGAGGCCAAACCATGATGGTTTCTAGCCAGATGAGGCTGTAACAAAAGGTTCATTTCAGTATTGTGGAAAACACATTACAATCATCCTGCTTCCCTTATAAAAACATTTAAAAAATGGAAAGGCAAAGATCGACCAGCAGTAGGTAGCCCACTGCTCTCGGTTTAGAAGTACCATACCAAGATGCTGACAGTTTATCGATTGATTGACCTTCCCCCCCACTGGTGAATGGTCTTTAACTACATTAATTTCTATACTTTGCCACTCATTTTTCTGTTATCAATAGAAAAAATATTATTTTATTATCAGCAATTTAAACAGCAACACAATACATAAAAGAGCTTCCTGGTGGAATACAGAAGTGCACCAAAGACTTATCTCCCTCCTGGTATTCCTAAAGCCTTCGTAAACCTCTTGCAACAAAGCAGGTTTTGGAAAAGGGGGATTAGTCCTCCCTCACAAGTGTTAAATGTCAGGGAAACTGTCAAACAAGCCTAACAATGGACATTTGCCATGAACCCATCTACAAGTCAATGGGTTAAGAAAAACACAACTGCAGACTGGTTGACCTCTTTGCAATATTAGAATTGGAAACAATGGAGTCCCCGGGCTGAAACTGCAATCACAAATCATTGACGTGATTAAAACAAATCTAGGCTAACAATCACCACAATGTTCTGCAAGAACAGGTTTAGATGCACATTCTCATTTTATTACAGCAGGGTCCTGAAGAAATCACGGTCCAATCGGTCAACTTTTGCAAGGGGCTTTCTATAGATGTTGATCTAGAGAAAGAGAGTTTTGTTTCCCTTACTTCTCTTCCAGAGTGACCACCTGAGTGTTGTAAGATGCAACACTTCCAGAAGATGTGAGTCATAAAGACTGAAGCCAAAACCTTTTCCTCTGGGAATGTGTATAAAGGCCCATTCTCTGCAACATAGAATCTATACTGTATAAGACTGGGGAACATCCGCTCCAGTTCTGGATGACTTTCCTAATCCAGTCCCAGATTTAACAGGTAGCCTAAAGAGTTCTGAAGCCCTGAAACAATTGCAACCAATTAGGATGGTGCCAAGTTAAATTAGGTAGAACTCAGCTGAAACTGAATCCTTAAGCCACTAAGGACCAGACTTAGAGGAAATTGGTTGTTTAATTGAACAATAAATTAAAGAAGTATTAATCTCCTTTCTTTAAAATAGACTACTTATGTAAGGCTGGATTGAAGCTCTCCAGGATCAGGGCTGGAACCCTGTCATAGGACATCTCACTCGACTAGACGCCAGAGTTCTGACTTGGGCGGGTGGATAAATGGTAGATGGTATTAAAAAAAACACAACTGGCCACCTGACAAAATAAATACGCACTCAAATGCTATGTACAGCATTATATCAGCCTTTTATCTCATAATATTACTATTACTGCAAGTTATACATTCTTCCTGGGAAGTTTGGATCTGACACAGTTACAAACACTCATTAACACTAACAATCATTAAGTCCATTGCAAAAATACTTAGTCGGGTATAAAAAATAAATCTTGAAATCTTTCACTGTGGCTTGCATTAAGCGAGTGGCTAACTGTGCCATCAAAGGGCATGTTCCGGTGTTTAAGGAAGCTGGCCCTTCTGTCCTTGTCTTAACCATTTCCCTCAACCTAAACTACAGGAAGGAGAAGGATTTGAGTAACAATCGATTTTTGTTAAATCTGTCACTACATAAAAAGGAAAAAAATTCTGCAGTATTCTGGACGGATGTCTTAAGTTGGAGAACGGACTGAGACAGGCGTTTCAGGGCTGCTTGCAATAACATCTGCATGGACAGTACCATGAAGATTCGCACAATACAGTTCACCAATATAAGTTTGTGTATTTATATGCAGGGGTTTTGTTTGCATACACAGAGAAATACATACACAATTCCAGTACATAATTGGCAAAAAAGACGACAGTCTCAGAGTTTAAGGTTAGAACCTTAACTTCTCAGGGATCAATGTTCTCTGCTGCCTTTGAACAGATTCCACGAGTTTCAGTCTCTCTGAGATCTATATATACTTGAAATGATCACCATATATATCAAATGATCTAGGCTAGACCAAAAGTGCATGGATGTGTCTGTGAGAGTAGAGGGTGGAAGTAACACCATTATAACTATTTTCTACAATGTCAGATTGCAAGTTGTAAGATACAGTCTTGTTTAATCATTTTGAAAATAAGAAAATAAGATGGTTTAAATAACAAAAAGACTAACAGTTTAACAACTAATTAAATGCTCTTCAAACAATAAAACAATTTTAATGTAAGTTTCTGTACAATGCTTGCTAAGCAGTTTATTTATATATAGAAAACGTAATAGGAGTAGTTCTTAAAATGACAAAACTCCTTAAAATTTAATGGCAGGTACTCTGGAAAAAATAACAGCATTCCATCCACAAATATTTTCAAGCAATAAATATGTATTTATAAATAGTGTAAATTTACATCAAGATTAGAAACAAAAAAATCACAAATTTGAAGTTTATTCCTTAGTCTATGTGCAACCCATTTATCTTTGTGACTTGGCTGTTATTTTTTTCTTTTTTCTCTTTTTTTTACCTAAGAAACAAAAAAAATTAACATCATGGTTTCAAAATAACAAGACAGAGAAAACATAAAAGCTGTAAAAAATTATATTCACCTAACTCTTCACATTACAAAATTTTTTTATATTTTGTTGCCCAAAGAGACTCAAAATTTCTATCTACCATACAAAAGACCAGCTAAGCTAGTACTCGTTTTAAGGGAAAACTTCAATGAAAAAAGGGTGATGATCAGCCCAGAAACAGAATACAAAAGAGAAAGTTGTCAAGTCAGTAGTCTTTCTGTGATGTTGCCAGTTGTGACAGATATTTATATATACAAAACATTTTTCCATATTTTTTGTCCTTTTTGATTCTTTTTTTATATAAGTACAGCTGAAACAGCTATAAATTGTCCTGGAAAAGGAGCAGCACCCTCTCCCATCCAGTCAGTTGACACTCCGCACTTGGAAGGTTGCATAGAGACACAGCTTTCAGCCAGCAGCCTTATGGGATAGCTACAGAAACCAGTGGTGCAGAACTGGGTCACTTCCTGAATATCAGAAATGTTTCTCTTTATATATTGTCCACAGAACAATAATGTTAATGTCAAGATGAAGATGAAGGCAATGGAGGAGCCTAGGGGGAAAGAGGAAAGAAACACATTTCAGTATATTTATACCTAAATATAGCTATGTTTTCAGTACATGGGTCACAAAACCATTTTTATGTATAAAACAAAAGAATTGAATGATCTGGCACCACACTATATTTGGCATTCATCAGTTTTAGTAAGGCTTTATTTTTAACGTCCAATGACACCAAAATTTTTATGGTGCCACTGTCTTTGAGGATGACTTCAACAATGGCTGTTAGTAGAAGATGTGGTTCACATCTTTAAGCCATCTTAAAGGAACAACAGATTAAGGGATGGTGGTGTGATGTGACTCTTTAAAAGGATCTGGCTTTTGAGACATGGCCAGGGAGAATATTAAGGTAAAGTAGCAGGATTTCTTTTTCTTTTCAACTACAGGCTTGTGATTTAAAGTCTTTCATGAGCCTCAGTGGCTAAATACACTGCTGCAGTTTCTGTAGCATTAGCCCAACTGAGTGCCTGCTTCATCCTGCAGGGGGCACTAATCTATTGTAGGTTCTCCCCCTAAACAGCAATTTATATAATTACCTAAAACAAATTGGGACTTAATCCCAGACTAGTAACAGGTCCAGAGGCAGGCATAATCACATTCCAGTTTGAATACATTGTGTCAAATACTACACTGTACAACATAAAACGGCAGAATATTCAAAATGTGGACGATCATAAAATTAAAGTAAAAATGTTAATGCCTCCACTTACTAATGTAAATTGGTCATAGACTTGCATCAGGTCCTCCATTTTGTACTGTTCTAGCACCACAAAGTTCTCCAAGTTTGCACTGGCCTTGCGCGCGCAGTCCTGACAGTGCACTATGTAGGTCTTCCGAGAGTTGCTCTCGCTTGTGACGAACAGCAGATCAAAGACCTCCACCTGCAGCAAGTGGGGAAAAAGCACAACCAGGAAGCAAACCGCCTGTTAGAGGAGTTCTTAATGCAGAAACAACAGATGTAGCGCACAGCGATGATTGCATAATTTTCAATAACCGCTTAATTAATTCAGGATCATGGTGGCCCAGGAGCCTATCCCAGGAAGCACCGGGCACAAGGCTGGATACACTCTGGATGGCACACCACTCCATCTTAGGGCACACACAGAAACACACTCACACCTAGGCCAATTTCACAGAAGTTTCTCTTCGAATTGTGGGAAGAAACTGAAGAAGCCAGAGGGAAACCCGCACAAACCAAACTCCACACAGATTTCACACCAGGAATCGAAACTATGACCCCAGCACTGCAGAGCAATAGCACTGACCACTACACTACAATGCCACCCACACAGAGAACCTCTAACGCATCTAATGCACAAATGCATCATTATGAACTGTCTCATTCATCATCTGGCATAGCCCTACCAGATTTATAATCTGAGTGAAACAAACTCTAGAAGAATTATCTAAACTGTTCTATTTTCAGAAGGCGACAAACAAAAGTCTGGGCACCTGTTTTCCCCAGAGATAAATGTGGAAGTAAACAGGAAGAACAGTATACAACTATAAGGCTGAGGGAGAAACCCAGAAACAGATAACCAGACATTAAGGGGGAAAACTGTTTTAATGAACTCTTTAAAGCTGCACCTGCAAAATGCACCTTTTTCTGCCCAATTTTGACCCAAATGTAAGAGCTTCCCCTTTGTTCAAAACCTAAACTGAATGTACATTTGCTTTTGTTAGTTACTGCAGTGCTCTGCAGAACTGTATAACCTTGAACATTCTGCCATGCTTTCTCTAAATAATACGGTTCTAAAAATGCCCCTGAGAGTTCTTGAGATGAAGTTAATGTTTTTCTTCTCAGTTAACAAAATTTTAAATACATCACAGAATCCTCTTCCTACATTGTAAATGTTAAATGATTTCTATGCTCTCAATTGTGATCTGCACTTGCCGAACCCCGGCACAACATAACCTTGTATAAACTATGGTGCTCACCCTGGAAAGGGAACTGTACAAGAATGACCTCTTTTTGACAATGTTAAGGCTTTACACTGATTAAATTGAAAGTCTGTAATTAAAAAAATTATGCAGTTACATTTGGCCTATGGAGTTTGTGTGGTAGTTAGGAGCAAATCTATTCCAGGATCTCATCCAGCTGTTTCATAAAAGAAGCCAAGGTATTGGCTTCAACAAGATGACTGGGTAGGTCCAAATGCTTCATTACAAAATGACCCATTTCAAACATGTCAGGGCTGTTTCTAGAAAGTTCTCTTGATAAACCTGTCTGTCTTCTGGGTGCAAGGAGACTGGTTTAATTACTCTCGACTGTTCTCACTGCTGGAATGTGAAAACAGATGTTGAGACTGCCTACAAACTGCTGCTCTGCTTCCTTCCAACTAGCTGGTGCCTTGATCTTCCCCGCTCACCTCACAGATGCTACAGTAGTGAGCTGGCTCGTCCTTTGCCCTCCCATGCCACATAATCTCCTTCCCTGCAGCGATTAGAGCCTCCTTCAACATCTGACACTGCTTTAATGTCCTTAACAAGCAGTACCTGGGAAAGAGAGTGAAATAAAAGGGTTACTTTCCAGTTGTTTTGGACAAAAAACTAAAATTCAAATGATGGCCCTTAGAGCCTTAATGTTGCAATGACATATACAGTACACCGCCCAGTGCAGCATCCTTCAGGATTGTGCTCCATTTTCACCTTGTTTATTCCTTTGGGTTTGCTTTTCAGGTCTTTTAAAAAAAATATATAATCTCCAATGTATGAACATCAGAAACTTTATCAAGCAGGTTTCACGGGAGTACTTTGTTTTTACCCTAGTGACAATGGACTATGGTGATATCTCAAAATGGAAATAATGTAAAAGGCCCGTAAATAGTGTATTTTCCAAAGCAATCCCGATATAACAAAGTTTAGATAAACCTCAGAAAGCGTCAGGCCACAAGCACTAAGGGAAATCAAACATGCACTATAATAAGGGGAAAACTCTGCTGCAACCGATCTAGAACCACAAACATTAAGTAAGATTGTTAGTGAGGTGTGTGAATCAAATGATCTAAAAGACACCATTTGGTTTGTGGACATGCCGAGAGAACTTTGGCCATCAGCATTTTCAGACTTTTTGCCAACAAACAGCCTTTTTTAGAATTTAAGGCAGATTTAGCCAGAGTTATTGGTAAATAACCAATTTTACAGTTTCAGTACAATGTAACCTACAGTGTCCTTCAGTTTGTTTACATTAGTTTGTCTCTGTGACAAAAGTAAAAAATTAAAAAGTATGCATACTGTACAAGCCTACAAAATATTGACATTTTGAGAAAAATGCCTCTTCCTCCCTCAAGTCCAATTTTCCTCCGAAGGCATGACGAATAAGAAAGCCTATTTTAAGTAACAGGTCCATAGTTAACAAGCATTTTTACAACAACTTTCAGGGAGACAAAGTATATTTTTGTAGAAAATGAACAATCAAAACAGTGGTGATTTACTTCTTAAACTGCGTCCTCAGACAAGGATGGATTCACACTTCTACAGGATCAAGTGCTGGGGAGACAGACTAAGGCCAGTGTTGTCCAGGCTGAGCAGGAGAAGGAAATAGCACCACTGGCAGTGGTAATGTCAATGAGCAGCTTCTCCCAACTACACTTACTTGATCATTTCGAAGAGCCTGGGGTCAGACACCTTAATGTTTCGTGCGGTGTTCCATGACAGGTGAATCATGGGAACGATGGACTTCACACTTTGCAGTTTATTCCACTCGTATCGCTCCACGGCCAGCTTATACTGGTATGCTGCACAAAACAGAAATGAATTTTAGTTTCACTAGTTTGCTGCTCGTTTTATATTGGGGGTCAACATTGATTAGAATAAATATGCCAAGGCAAAATAAACCCAAAGCGCTGGGAGAAAAGAGCTTTGAAAAGGGATCACGAAGAGTACTGGGTACGGTACCTGTCAGGGGCCCGACATTCCAAGCGATGTTATTGCACCAGCCTATGGCCTGAACCCAGTGGACGGTACCAGCGTTGATCCAGACCAGATCTCCGGGTCGCTGGATAAACCGGTACACAGGGACGTTTGCCTCATAAAGGTCTTCAAGGTTTGGCCACCAGGAGCCCATTAAGAAATTTATATTATTCCTTCAAAAATGAAATGAATCAAATCAGCCACACAAGCCCAAAAATCAGGAAAAAAAACAAACAAACAGAATACAATAATGCAAAGCGTGACTCAAGTGTAATGAAAAAACACAAGAGGATCCATGTCAATGAAGACGTAATATGCTTAAAGTAATGGCAGGACGGACTAAAGTCCATTGATCAAAGATTAATGAATAAAGGAAAACTATTAATCTACTGAAAATTATAAGTCTTGATTAGTTAATTGTTATGATGTACTTTGACAATTTTCTGCCAAGGAGAAACATTAACTCAAACAAAACATTTTTTAAAAATTAAGGTCATATACTCAAACACATGAATGTTAAACACATGATGTTTGTGTCAACTGGTCGTTTGAAAGATGCGTGAAATGGGAGTTACTATAGGTGTACATTTAAGGCAAGTACCATACTGGCAATTAAACATCCTAACGTTACTGTGTTAAGTTGTTTTCATACTTTTCACAGAAATCATTCATGACACCCCAGTAAGGCTCTGGTACAGCAAACCATTCACAATCTCCTGGTCCAATGTTGATGTTAACAGAACAGAAGTTGTTGTTTTCTTGGTGGCCTAAAAATGTAAACACAAAAAACACACTGCATTAGCTCTGCGTTCTGAAGTGGAAGATAGGCGATCTAAACCAAGACAACTCAAGAGCTTTCACAAAACAGGAAAAAAAATCTTTGCTGATGGAATGAGGCAGGTTAATGAAGGATAAGGATGAACCTGAACATGTGGATGAGGTTCAACAAAGGTCACCGGCGTCATGAATTGCTGGAAAGAACCAACTAACTGTTGGAACACTGCATCAAGACAACACAGGACAGCACCCTGGTTCCCAGCACTAAACCTGGAGGAAAGTCTTCTGGTTTGTGCTCCAGGCCAGTTCTTCATCACAGGCTAACTGATTTAAGTTTTCTACTAATGGCATACTAGGAAATGTGCTTTCAGCTCTTGAAAGATCTAACAGGATTTGCAATTGGTATCAACCCTGTACCAATTTCTGAGATTGCAAACTGCCCTCATTCAGGTATGTTTCTTGAAATGTAACCAACTGGACCTCAGCAGAAGCAAAAATGCTCATTGCAGGGGTGTCTGATACAGTGTCAAACAATGCATCTGATAATCAATCGATCAGCTACGGGGAGATGTGCAGACAGAGGTAACATCGAGCAAGTTGAGGAGAAAACCTGACACCGTTTCTCTGGAAACAGGGTGGGAACCACTGAGATTAAAAAAAAAACATCACTCATTACTTTCTCAGGTTTGTCCAAAATGTGTTGGGGAATTTCTCTTTTTAACATTAAAGTTATTTCTTACATAAACAAAATGATGACAATGAAATAAAATGAAGGGTTGTAAGATTTGGGAACCTGGCACCCTCGCCGTCAGGAAACCCGATCAGACAGACAGACACAGCGAGGGCATATGCTCACCTGGCGTTCGGCTGCCAGGGACCTTCATGTAGAGCTGGACTGTGTTCATCCCCAGGATCGTGTGGCCAACGTGACTCAAGAGATTCCCTGCAGACACCACTCGTGCAAACGCTGGCAGCTTACTTAACTCATGGAGCTGCAGCTTCCACCTGCAACGGTTCAGTTCGCACTTCAGAAGAGCGACAGCACAGGCCTGATTTAAGCCGCCGCAGTCATAAGGACACTGATAAAAAAAAACTCATTTATTTCTCCCATGAAACAGTCTGCTCAGTTGAGACCTTAAAAGTTCTGGGTTTTTTTTTATGTAGGTCCAGGAGCACTTGTTTGTATTTTTAGATAAGGATTGGTTCAGATTGAAAATCCCATCTTTATTGAGGAATATGGACACAACAGTAGGTTATCTGCTTTTTCCAACAGAAGCCCTGTTTTTTTGTGCAACAAAATTGTCTATTGAAGGAAAAAAACGCTAAGCTTGCATGCCATTTTTCTCTCATTTTCCACTTTCTTGTGCACATTCTAAATGAAAAGAATGACCGTTTTTCCTGCATTCTCCATGTGTCAGTGCTAAACATAAGCAATGAGCAAATGGATTATCTTTAAAAATTCTCAAACAGCCTGTCCTACACCACATGAAAGCTCCCTTTGAAAGTGTGAGAGCCAAGTGCCCTTAAGTGAAATTCATTAGACATTAGAAATACAGCACGTCAGTATGTTCCCTTTAACATACTCACTTTTTCTCATCCGACAAGTCTATGTTTGTCCCAAACTTGATGGTCTTAAAAGGACCTTTCCTGCGTCGTCCCACACTGAAGGAAAAAAAACAAAAAATTGGAAATTGGCACATTATAACAGCACAACAGTATTTAATTATTCCCTCCCAGTAAAAGACTTACTTATCAGATGATGTTGACTCATTGTCTGAATGTTCCTTGTGCCCTTTCTTTTCATTTTCCTCCTTCAAAAAAAACCAAACAAAAAGGTTAGGTTTTGTAACGTGCACAGTAAGAACAGTTTTCCTTTTTTGGTATTCTGTTAAATTGACTACAACTCAGAAGAATTTCTCAGGCACTTTTACTGCCATTGTTGTTATCCTACTGTATAAAAAGGTGGTCGCTACTGCTACTGATTTAACCCTGAGACATATTTTAGTAATTCTAACAGTTAAGATTTGTTATCCAAAAACCTAAATTGGTAATATGGTATAATTTAAACTGTATGTGACACACCACTGAGTTTGACTGTTATGGAAGTAAAACTACTCAAAACATACGATGGCAAGAAATTTCTGTAAGTAAGTTCTACCTCTGTAACGTGGAGGATGTTACAAAAACCCTGACGATAATTAAGGACAGCGCAAAAATTGGTATCACACCAATGCCATCTTTAAATTGCTTTTATAAGGAATGTAATGTCCCCTAGAAAAGAACTCCTCCAATGCAATCCTGCTTCTGCAGTCCTGGCGGTGCCAATAATGGGCAAAGGTCCGTTTGACTTATATTACTACGTCTGACCTGGAGTGAAAACTGAATAAAAGGCCTTGCTCGAACCCGGGATGAATCACGCCCTGGATTTTGAGTGCAGAGAATATCAATGCGAGAAGGGGTGAAGCCACTCACCCTGGGATTGGAAAAAAATGTGGGGAGCCCCTCGAATACAACTGCTCTATAACCATTGGGACATTTTGGACAATTTCTTACATTAAAAAGTACCCTGAGACTGAAACCTTGACTCTGTAAATGGACACAAAAGCACCTACATGGCAACTTGGTCTTATGCTGTTTTAGAGTCTAATGCAGACTATCAAGCAGATTGCTGACATATCCAGAGTGCTCAAGGAAAAATACACTTTAAAATCGTTAAAAACATATGTGCCAAGTACTTAGACTGTTTTGACTACTTAGTGTACTCTCAACAGGTACAGCCAGACATTTGTAGATTTGCTTCAGCCAGACAATTTGCTTCAGCCTTCTGAAGGGTGAGCAGATGCCGACAGGCTCGCCTTGAGTATAAGAAAGAATATTTTTAGCTGAACCACTGCAGGTTTTGACGGCTTTGTGACAGAATCCCGATTCAGCTCAGTAAGCACACCTGTCACTCAAGTGATCAAAACCTGAAAGGCACAGGAAAGGTGTAAAGTATACAGACGTGATACCTGCTAGTTAAGGACTAAATTCATGCTTGCATTCTCACTAATTAAACTCAGCAGAACTGCTCCCGGTTTATCTGGTTTAAAAGCAGAAATGAGTTGAAATTGTTCACCCGTATATTTATAAAAAAACAGCACTGGACATCAAAAAATGACTTGTACACCCTTCTTCCGGAATGGCTATTAAAAATTTAATCACCCCTGTCCTTATAGATGTATCTGAAAAATGCTGATTATTGAAACTGAATTGGAACTAAAATCATTTAGATTAGCACTGAGCTAAAATAATGCTCCGAACCATTCAGTTTTAGGAAACTCAGGGCAAGGAGAACAAGGATCTGGAAAAGATACTTTCTGCTATTACCAATTCATCATTCCCTTTAACTTTTTTAACCCTTTCTTTACAGAAAGGAAAGAAAAAAAAGCTTTGAAATACAAGTGAGATTTTAGCCAAGACACTTAGTTCTTCAATCTGCACACTTAAATGTCAAGCGGAGAACCTAACCTGCTTCAGCCTAACCCTTACCTACTCTCAACATACAACACAAACCTTAGATTTGAGAGAAAAAAATGAATACAGTAATGCACATAGTTAAGCACCGCATGCACACCTGAAACCAAGATCTGTCAAGTCTGAGGTATTCTGCAGAAAATGGGAGATGAAAAGTAGGGAGGCTAAATCTTTTAGATTTAGGCTAAGATTTTTAGTGTAGCCCCGTTAGTGTTGGGCTTGGCACTACTCACCCGTAGTGATTCCTGGAATGACGAGGCCTGGTACTGTGCATATTTGGCAATGGTAGTATGTGACCTACTACTCTCGCAGCGCCACATCTTCCTAGTTCCAGTCAGGTCCCAATTTTCATCAGTAGGCTGTGACAGCTGTGTCCGTACCTCCACCAGGTGGTCTGAATTCGCTTCTACTAGTGTCTTGGTAGAGAACAGACCTAGATCTGGAGAGACATGCGTTTTCAAACACTTAACGCTTTTTAGTAGACTAAATAAAAGAAAAGGGTAGAGGCAAAGAGGAGAAACGTCAACAAAACAAACAAATAAAAATGACTTTGACGGTAAAGGAGATAGCGTGCAGGAGGGTTTTGCTGATTACAACGGTTTCTCATGTGACAGATTAGACAAAAGATTACATCTGAAGTGCTGTCAATAACCCTTGTAACTACATGGCTTAGAGGCAAACACAAGTGAATCCAGCCCAAATGGCTTGCTGCCAAGGCAAACTACATTGCACATGGGTAACTACAACTACTGCCCCATGTGATTTGTCTCAATTCTTTCTTTAAGGTGAGGTGCAGTGGCATTTGAAAATATCAGCTGCATATCTCACTTGCCATTATTAAAACTGAGTCATTGAAGAAACCATCCATTTAACTACAAAATGCAAGATCAAATTAAATGAACAGATCCATAAACTGGGAGCAGGCAGGTTTAGGCAAATGACTAACTACAGGCAGAATGTAGTGACAAGCTTAGCTTGCAGGTGGCGCTGTTGTCCTGAACGTAATGTTCACCTACTTGCCTCTCTTTCACATTTTAAGCACTAACTGGAAGTAGAATAGAATCCCAAAGAAAGGCTGAGAAACTAAAGTATTTCTAAATGTCTCAGTCTCACAAACTTTTCTATTCTACAAAAATGCTATAATCCTTTCCTGTTCCCCTAGGTTACTTATGTCAACCTTTTCAGATGTTCTGTCAAGTCTCTTGTCTCCAGGCGTCTCCTGTCCAACATGGGGATTAGACCACTTCACACAAGGTAAGACGCTCTGATCAAAGCGCCACCCCAGTGGAACTCACCTAGTTTAAGGGCTCCCGCGAGACCCCGGATTACCGTGACAGGGTTGTTTGGATTTGTACAAAACTGATGTAAGGGCGGAAAGAAAGCATCGCGCTTATTCTCCAGCTGTGAAAAGATGACATTTCAAAGTTCAACAACGCAGCAATTCATGGGAGAAGGGTGGTGAGGTAGAAAACTCATCTAGCGGATACGAGAGAATATTTTACAGATGTATTTGGCTTTCTGGCCTTCTCTGCCCATTTTTTTGGTGCTATTTAATTCAGAATGAATTCTGTGAGATACAGCGTGTGGATTAACACGAACACTGTGCCCGGGCGATGTTTCATCTACAGCGTGGTTACAGGGCCATACAGCCCAAATTGAGGCCGAACCCTTGCAGTGCTCCAGGTGGCTCTCTCTCTTTGTATCGCAACCAGAGGCCTCACAGCCCACCAGAGGGGGCGCCCTGACGTCTCTTACTCACATAAATACTGGGAGTGGGCGGGTTGAGCTTGTCCTTTGGCAGTGCAGGGTAAGGTGGAGGCGGCGGCCGAGGGGGGGGACACTTGTCCAGTAAAATGCTACTATTTGACAAGCCGTTCTTCCCCAGGTTTCTGAAAAAGAGGAAAAACAAAATATCAGAGTGCGAAGGGCGCCTAAAGAGGATATTTCTGGAACAATGGCACTGCTCACTGTGCATTTAGAAACTTCCAAGAAAATTTTACCAAGTTACTTGCCGGCAAACGCAATTCACCCCAGACCACATTAGCTGTAATGAAGGCCCTATATCTCTGCAGTATTGAGCTCTTACCCCACTCTTTGGCAGTTTACGAAGACTGAAGCTACATGCTGCAAGCCACCGTCTCTTAAGGCGGCAGATTGTGAAGATGGTGACTTGCTCTCAATAACAGGCACACGTCTCTCTACTTACAGTACATCCTCTCAACAGCACTCGTCTGCTGCTTTGCACTTTGTTTAAACCAAAGAAAGGGAAAAGTCTTACAACGTCTAGAATATCAACACCATAAGTCAGAGTTGTTCCCCTGCTGATAGGCACTTTCAATAAAGGAGGCCAACTAAGATCACCACAAGGGTTCCTGTGCGACCTGACACTGCTGTGTGTCAATTTAAGGGGGACTGCAATGCTGTTTTTGTATTTCAGGGTGAGAAAGAACTAGCATTGATGAGTGCATTTCAAACCACAAGAAAAGGAAGATGTACACAGTAACTTGTAAAACCTCCTATTTACATCACAAAACACAGGAAATTTCCGGGTGTGCACAGTGCAATTTCTGCAATTCAGAAAGAGGCAACCAAATGTCGGGTGATGTGATGCACCCCTTTAACATTGTAAACAAGCAGGCTTGGGAAGACATCTCTTTCAGTCCAAAAGACATATTGCTCTCGACTTCAAGGTGGTTTTGAAGTGGTTTCGACAAATACAACTTAACTCTGCATGTCAGTACTGGAAACTTTCTGTAGTGAAATATCTGCCGTATAATCTGTACATCACATTACATTGACTAGCGAGCAGGAAGGGCCACATCACATCGCATTTCAGTGGAACTCACTCTTACCCATGACGAGACCAGGGGCTTGCGACAACATGGAGCCT